AAAATAGACAATGTATAAGGGAGGGCGCTGCAGGAGGCAGATGTCTATGTGTATCTGTGTGTGTTGCTGTGTGCACTTTCCTTCCAAGTAAGCACAAACTCCTAGTGGAAAAAAGTGCACTGGCACTGGCAATGGCAAAGTTTCTTTTCACTTGCACATTTTTCACTGCCATGTGCCAGGTCGCGTTGCCGATGCAGTTACCGTTCCCGTTCCTGTTCCCGTTACCGTTGCTGCCACGTTTTGTTTTCCGTGCTGCCACTTTTTACAGCAGCTCTGGCACCTGGGAATTCACGTTAACCTGTGCATGCGTGCGCTTAGCATACGCCTCCTTGCTGCTTCCTGCAGCACGCCTTGGCTCCACTTGCTCCACACATTGCTCGGGGCCGACGCAAAGCCCTTAACCCAACGCCAGCTCTTGTGCGTGTGAATTTGGCACTGCAGTTGTTGCTATTGTTGCTGTTGTTGCTGTTGTTGCTATTGTTGTAGGTTGGCGCCTTCTTTTGTTTTTGGCACTGCGGTTGAGGAAAAATAATGCTTGTGGTGTTCGGTTTTATTTTCCTTTAAATCCCATGCGGGTTATGCAGAAAAGGGAGCTTGGGATCTGTTTTTTTTTTTTTTTTTAAAAAGCAAATACATATTTATGTAGCATGTGAATAGTTCTACACATACTCGTTGATTAAACAAGAGAGAACGCTACAGTCGAGCAAGCCCGACAGTGTAATACCCTGTACCCAGGTAAACTTCCGTCACTGAGTTATATGCGCCTATAGCAGCAGCAAAAAGAGGAAGAAGAAGAGCGAACTTGTTGCTGCAGTTTGGGGGGGTTGTACTGGCGAGAATTTGTTTCGCTAATAACTTTTCTTAGAATTGACTGAATAAAATTGTATACAACAGTAGACAGTTATATATAAATTATGTGCGCAAAGTTTGGTTAATGTAGCATTTGAAATGTGGACGCTATTGACGAAATTCTGTAGCAGGGGAAGGGGGGGAAAATTCCAAAAAATAAAATAAACTCGTCCTTACTCGGACCTAGGAGAATCTGGATGCCAACTTTGGTTATTCTAGCTTTTATAGTTTCTGAGATCCTCGCGTTCATCCAGACGGACGGACAGACGGACAGACGGACGGACATGTCTAGATCGATTTCTCTCGTCATGCTGATCAAGAATATATATACTTTATGGGGTCGGAGATGCTTCCTTCTGTATGTTACATACTTTGCACAAACCTAATATACCCTTTTTACCCTACGGGTACAGGGTATAAAAAGTTTTAAGTTATATGTAAATACCAAATTAATTGTTATAAGTAAATAAGTTTTATATATTAAGAAATGAAATATTACTTTTATTATAAAATAATAATCTAATTTGTAAACAAATAAGAAATTTATTGATATTATTATAATAAAAAACAAAAATGACTTGTTTATGTTTATTGTAAAAGGAGCTGTGTGTATCCTTTATCCTTAAAATTGTCACTTGCCATAAGGCAAATATTTTATACAGTGTTTTTTAACTTCAAATAAAACGGCTTTTAAAATATAACCTTTCTTTTTGTTTTTACTGATTTGCTGCAGGAAGTAGGATCTGAATCCTTCAACTTCAGGCAAGCATATATCCGCAGCAAGTCCTAAAAAGTGTCCTCTTTTGTTTGCAGTAATTTGTATTTAGTTGTACCGCTGCAACTTATTTATCTATTTATTTATTTAATAATTAATTGGTGTGGAACCCGGTTTGGAACCGGCTTCCATTCAAAAAAGTGTAGCATATCAAACAGGAGCAGAATTTAATTTTTAATTTATAAAAAATGCCTCTTGCTGCTGGTTTATGTTCGCCTGGTACTTCCGATTTTGGATTTTAGCATTTGCAGGCCATTTGATAAATTTTAGGAAAGCCGCATCTGCTCCTTCCTGGTTTTAGTTTGCAAACTGCCACTTTTGCTAAGTACTAGGCGAACATAATGCAGCAGCAAGACGATTCTTTAAAAAATTAAAAATAAATGTAAGCCAGGTTTCAAACCATTTTGCAGCCAGGCTTCAAACCAATTACCAAACTGGTTTGAGCCCCAGCTGCTAAAAGGTGTGGAGCCCGGCTTACATTAAGAAAAGTGTAGCATCTTTTAGGCGACCGAATTAAATTTTAAATTTAAAAAAAATCATCTTGCTGCTGGTTTCTGTTTGCCTGGTAATTCAGATTTTGGATTTTAGCATTTACAGGCGATTTGATAAATTTTAGGAAAGCCGCATCTGCTCCTTCCTGGTTTTAGTTTGCAAACTGCCACTTTTGCTAAGTACTAGGCGAACATAATGCAGCAGGAAGACGATTCTTTAAAAAATTAAAAATAAATTTAAGCCAGGTTTCAAACCATTTTGCAGCCAGGCTTCAAACCAATTACCAAACTGGTTTGAGCCCCAGCTGCTAAAAGGTGTGGAGCCCGGCTTACATTAAGAAAAGTGTAGCATCTTTTAGGCGACCGAATTAAATTTTAAATTTAAAAAAAATCATCTTGCTGCTGGTTTCTGTTCGCCTGGTTCTTCATATTTTGGTTTTTAGCAAACGGAGCCGCTTTGGCCATCGGCCAATCTGAATTTTTTATTTATGGGTCAGGTTTTTGAGTCCTTCCCTCTTCAACCCCCCTCACACACCTAAATAATAAAAAAGCCATTAAAAATTTATTTTCACTCATTTTATTTTTTAGCTCAGAAATTTAATAAGTTAATAATTATTAATGCATTATACAAAAAAGGACACAAAGGACATCATTATATTATTATTATGCATTTTATTATTAATATAAATTTTGTTCTTATTTAATTATAAATAATCTGTTGCTGCTCGTGGCTCTAACTTTCGCTTTGCGCATTTGGCGAGCCGTCGGAATTTCAAAAGGAACATCCATCATTATTATTATTATAAATACTATTATTATAACTAATTAAATTAATATTATACCATAATTAATTCCTTCGTTCTGCTCCTTGTGGTTCATACTATCGTTCTCAATTGTAATTTTGCTCATTTGGAGATCTGTCGGAACATCAAAAGGACACCCATTACCTTGAATACAAATACATATAAATAAATACAAATTTTATTATTATTATTATTATAATAAATTTTACTATTATCATAATTTAAGCTAATCGTGGCTGGTAAACTTTCGTTTACCATTCTATTCATGCTGACTTCTGCTCAGAAGTTTGATTCCGCCGCTGGATAATCGCAGGATTACTGTCTATGTGGATACCTGGATATTTCAGCCACTTATGAGTAAAGTGTAAACTCCATTGTTTTCAGCACCTTGAAGTCTGACTGCATATGCTGGCAACACATGTTTTGGGCCAAACAACCTATGTTGTTGGCCGTTGCAGCCATCGCATCTGAATCCTCAAAGGGGGTTTCGTCTGGACAATTCGTACGATATTGCTTAAGTAGCTTACGTAACAAAAAAGGATCAAAGGATCTTTGAACAGCAAACATAAACAACACCATTAGATGTTGAAGTGATGGAACTGTCGATCCCAAGCCGCTGCGTCGGATGCCGTGCAAACTCGAATAGTACGAGTATATAGCACAAGCATATATTGTAAACATTGGGTCGGCTCCAGCTGGGCGATGTATGGCCTGCCTGCAGTATACTATTCCTTAAATACTTTTGCTGTTTGCGATTAATCAGCAATAACTTATCCATTGGAAATAAAAAGACAAAGGGGGCTTTTTTTAAATTATTCCTTGTGTTTTTTATTGTATTTCATTGTGGTTGTTGTTGATGTTGTTCATTGATGTTCGTTTGTTTGTGTTTCATGTTTTACTTCACCGCTAAATAACTTTAAGTGTTGTTGTTTTTCCGTTACCATATTCATTTATACGGTATAGTACATATAGTACACCTTACTCTCAATGTTTCGTATGCTCTTTCTTGATTCGCCGCTGCAATAATCTTTTGTTTGGATTTTATGCAGCGCCTTCCTCTTTACATGTATAATAATAACTAAATTTCATTTATAATAAATTGAATAATAATAGATAATAATGGTTTGTTTGTTTAAGTGTGTTTTAAAAAATGTTCGATTTAGTAGTATAATTATCATCATCGTGATCATCAGCGTCGTTATAATCGTTGCCAAAGACATTTTTGTTCTATGCCATGAGAATGAACTGCAGGTTTCTTTCCTTTCCTTTCTTAACTCTGCCGTTATATTTTTTTGTTTTGTTTTTTCTTTTGTTTTGCGTTCTTTCCACTACAAACTTCATTCCTCACTTACAGACTATTATTTCAATTTACTTTTATTTGATCTCTTGTTTGTGTATTATATATAATTGTATATACTAGTTATTTTTATTTTTAAAAATCATACTCTACAAGTTCGATACAAAATGATGTATAAAAACAAACTATAAAAATATATGAACGGAAAACAACAAACAACTTCTATGCGTATCACAAAATAAAAAGATTATACTTGTATAGAATCAATAATAATGAGTAATACAAACAAATTAAACGTAAATTATAAAAAACAATAAACAGCTATTAACATTTGCTCTTGCCGCTCGGACGAGGGCGCAAAACATATAGTATATCAAAAAATTCGTTGATATCACCTGACAAAAATGAAAACTACTTAGAGTTTATATTTATAGTACTTGTATTGTATAGTAAGTATATGCTTAGACATTAAATCATTACTGCACTTACTTATGCGCCAAGTAAATGAACAATTATTTATGTACGCACTCTTAAGTGTTTGTTGTTGTTGTTGTTGTTAGCTTCTTCTTATTTTTCATTAAATATTAGTACAATATAATTTATTTCGATTTACGTTGCAACATTTAATTATTTTTTGTTCTTTACTTTTCAATAAACACATCACATCATATTCACAATTAATAATCATAATAATCTAGTATGTATATAAACATATATATATATATATATATATATATATATATATATATATATATATATATATACTATATATAGTATGTATATAGGTAAGAGTATGAACTAAAATTAACAATAAAACTATTACTTATGTAGGTATGTACGTATGTACTCGTTCGTATATTGAAAAAATGACTACACACACATAATTAATTACATTTAAATATTCATTTTCACGATTTCCTCGGAGCTTCTTGCAACCGCACCCATCAAGTAATCGCTGTATCGTACTATATACGTGTATGCATGATTAATCAAATGAAAAACTATGTATGTATGCACGAGTATGTAGTACGAGTAGTGTTTACTCTTCAGATGTTTCAATATAAAGTACATAGTTGTTTCATTTTTGAATTGTTGTTACTTAATAGAACTTTAAGGCAAACAAAAGTTTCGTTTCTAGTTTACACCCACAACGTAATTCCGCATGCAAGGCATGCCAGAGTTACAAATCGACAACATTTACAGTTGTTGTTGATCGCACTTCCTTTGTAAGTTAAACAAAAGACGCTGCATAAACACTCACTTATGTATTTATACATACAATGACACTATTTTTAATGCTATCCTTCGCCGACTTACTCGCTATTTACTATATGTGTAGAACAATTTAATTTTTCTTCTGTTTTTGTTGTTGTTGTTGTTGTTGTCCTTCCCTCTTGCTGCACATTATTTATTATCAATTTGTTGTTATACATACGTACGTAAAAGTTATTGTTTAACTGCTAAGATGTGTGGAGATTAGTGTGTGTTGGCTAAATGTTTTATCTTTCAAATATTTGTTAAGGTGTGTCTGTGTGTCAGTGTGTGTGTGTGTGTTTGTGTGTATGTAGTTGGGTAGATGCTCATTAATTTAGTTTTATTTATAACTTTTTAGTTGTTCGTAGTATGCAACTTGGCTTAGTCGTTGCACTTGCTGTTGTTGTTGCAAGCGTCATGCATATAGATTTAAGGTCTGCTTATAATGGACGGAAACTTATTAGGCATTGTAGTTGGATTTTGTTTTGTTTGGTATTTTTTTAAGAGTTAGGCTCTAGATAAAGTTTAGTAGGCTGGATAGAGACTTGGCTTGGAAAGCAACGAGCTTAGCTTAAAGTTCTCGAACATATCGAATATCTCGAATATTTGGAGTATTTATGCATTGTAGACGTGAATATGGGACACTAGGTATACTATGTACGGGTATGTATGATGTATGTTGATGAGAAGAACATGTTACTAGGAGGGGAATCGAGACGAATCGATGTTACCTAAGATATGCATGTCAAAATTAAGGAACAAATTTCCGTATATTATAACCAGCCCTTAAATGTATATGTACCCGTTTATTGAAAGCACACATCGAATGCGCTTCATACATACATGTATTTGTCAACGAGTTTAGCTAAGTCGATTATTCTTTAACTTAATTATGTATGTTCTTGTTACTATAATTGTAAATTGATTTCATGTTGTAACCAATCTCTGTATTGTAAGTATTGTATGTGAGTGTGTGTGTGTTTGCGTGTGTGTGTGTCGAATATGAAAATAGTTCGTAATGCTCTAATATTGATTACCACTACGCATACTCGTATTCATGTGTGTGTTCGGGTGTTAAAAAATGTTTTACCTTTATCCAATTTTTACAAATTGTGTAAATTACGTTGCTCGTTAATTTAAGTATTGATGTTTTATTTGCTTCCTTATTATTTTTGTTTCTTTAAAAGATCACATTTCATGTTTTAGTTGCCGTTAATAAATATATAAGTATGTATGTATATATATTTTGTTTGTTTGTTTTCCTTGCGATTCTATATACATAAATATATGCATATATTAAGTAGTTTCCTTCTTCATATGTATATATGTATATAATCGTCGTTATTTTGTTTCTTTTGTTGTATCTTTACGAATAAATTAAATTTACTTACAACAGCGCTAACTGCAACTCAAGTCTGAAAGTAGGAAAGATCTAAGATATTTTGTTTTTGTTTTGCTTACGAATTATTATTACTATTTTTAGTTTTTTTTCTTTTCTTTTTAAGTATTTTCGTTTTTTGTTTTTTGCATAGGAAGATACAGTACTTGTTTTTATATTAAATCTTTTAATTTAGTTTTTATTGTGGCTTTAGTAGTCAATATGTGTGTGTTGTATGTGAATTATGAAGTCGTTTTTAATTCGCTAGAGATTTCAGCTAAATTAATAATACACCGTTAAAAAAAAGTGTTGCTGTTGTTTTTTGTATGGCTAGCTGTAGCTGTTGTCGCAAAAATGCTTACAGCTAAGATTTGATTACATTTTAGTGTATTTTTTGATGTTTTTCCTTTCTTCTTTTGAATTTTTTTTTTGTTTTTTTTTTGCTATCGGTATTGTGTTATATGGTATATAAAAAAATATGTTCATCCTATTTGAATTGCTTTGTTGTATTTGCTGATTTACTATCTTGTTTATAAAATGTAAAAAAAGGAATACGGCTTTAAAAATGTTCTCATCAAATATTTATCGTATTTTCATTTTAGTTGTTTTCATCCATTTTATGCACTGGCTTTAAATCGTTGTTGCAAAAATAGGACGTGACTGTATTTTTGTTTTTCTTCTTCTTCTTCGCGTTTAAACATACCTTTTTATGGTTTTAGCAGCTTAGGCTTATCTGTTCCTGGTGGACTACAAATGTTGTTTTGATTAATTTCGACTGTTTTCCTTTTGTTTGTGCCGGCCGCGTCTAAAAGTTACAATTTTGTTGAATGCTATTTGTAATATTAACACTTTAAATACTAATGCTTCTTTTTTATTTTTGTTTTTGTTTTCATTGAAATATGGAACTCTAGATTTTAAAATAGTTTGAAACTAATTTTAATTTTTGCAACTGCGCTCTCCCATTTATCGAGTTCAATTTTAAATTGCTAATTTAGTTTTGTTTTCTTACATTTATTTATTTAACAACACTAAACACCCTTTCTTTTAATTCAAACTTATTTGTTTGCTAATATTGTAGAGCGGTCACTCAATATTTTCACTTTTGTGTATTGTATGCCATTTATGTACGACGAGTATGTCAATTAAGTAGTTTTCTTTTTTATGCTTACAACACGCTTAAGTTGAAGTCTTGCTATACGTACGTACGAAAAATGTTTGTAGAGTTGTCATAATATTTGTTTGTTGTAAATAGTTCGTATCAACATTTTGTTTTCATCAATATTCATATTCATATTAGAGTTGTATGTAGATTGCCTGCTCGAGTCTAACAGTGTGAGTCCAAATGCTCTTCGGATTTTGAGAAGGGCCTTACAGTCGCCAACTTGCACGTTTAGGGCTGTGTCTCCGTGGGTCTGTGTGTTTGCGTGTAGAGAGGTGAATACTTGTAAGTGTGCTAAGTGTGAATACTTGTATGTAAGTTGAAGACCATCAAAGCAATTACTATAGAATGCCAAATAGTGTCTGTGTGGGGAATTAGACAAAAACATATATCGTCCAATTTCAGATTATCAAAACTAGAACGTGAAAAATTCGAATTAACACTATGATTTCAAGTTTTGAAACTTATGTTTAGGCCCGCTACAATGACTACAAGTACAATACTGGCTCATACTATCAGAGTTCCAGCATAACCCATTCGAAAAGTTTCTTTTCGATATCAGTACGTGTTTAAGAAAAGTACGCCCCCCTGTCGTTCTTAGATGCAGTTCGACGGCGACCCCCCCGTGGCTGGTGTCACAGTGAGTGTTGTGGCGGGCATCGCAGCCACCGTGGTGGCCACCACAGTGCCCACCGGTGCCTGATAGTGATGGTGATGGTGTTGCTGCTGCATTTGTGGCTGATGTCCTATGTAGGCGTGCTGCTGATGTTGTTGCGCCGGCGTGTATTTCAGCAAATGTTGCTGGGGTGCCGACAACGAAATGAATTGCGCCTGAGCCTGGGTTGCCGCCAAAATCGGTATACAATTCGAATTGTAATCGCTGCTTAAGACCAGGGTTGGTGCGGCATCATAATAGGTTGTCGCGTTACCCGGCCCCATAGCTAAAGGAGTTGGTGCTGCCTTCAGAAATGCTGCCGGGGCTGTTGCATATTGCTGCTGGGGTGTGGGCATGGTTGCTGTCGATGTGGTTGACAGAGTTGTGGCCGACGAGAGGGTAGGGGAGGTTGCTATCGAGCAGGACGATGACGAGGAGGCCGATGACGGCGAGTAGGGCGAGGCGCTGTGGTAGGTGGCGGCCATGGGGGGCATGTGTGGGTGTTGTTGCTGTTGCTGTTGCTGCTGATAGATGTTGCTGGTATGTGCAGCTGGTTTGTTTGCATTGCCAATGTTGCTATTGTTGTTGTTGATGTGGTAATAATTATTGTTGTTAGTGTGGTAACTGAATTGCTGCTGCTGCTGCTGCTGGTGGTGTTGCTGCTGATGATGCGGCTCAATGATGATCAAGTTGCTGTTGTAGCCGCCAGTTGCTGCCGCTGCTGCTGTTGTGGGAGCAACAATAGCTGTGGCATTGGCCGCCGCCGCTGTCTGCTGCTCATTAGGATTGGTAATCATGGCGGCCATGATATTAGCCGGTGGCAAGACAATCGGTATGTGGTAGTATTTACATTGTTTGCGACGACATTGGCTGTTGGCATGATCGCGACAGACAGCAACACGTTGATCAATTACCTCGACTTTGTCATCTGTAGATTTGGAATGCACGGGGAAGAGACATGAAGAAAAGAATTGAATTAGCAACACGTTTCTAACAGATTATTTCTAGTTTAAATAACATTTAAAGCACTTAAAATCGATTGAGTTTGTAGCAATAAGTATACGATTTGCAATTCTTCAGTTGAACATTTGTAAATATCTGAGCTGAAGCAGATAGTTGTTGATGAACAGATCAACATATAATAAGACGATCATATGCAAGTTTAAAAATGTATATTTTAGTTGCTGATCAGTGATCAAAACATCCGCATGGATGTGCTCAATTGCTCTCATCCGTGTGTAAGATGGATGGATTGACTTGTTTAATTTAAAGGCATAGTGATCGTAGAAATTTTGTCACTTTCGGAACGAACTAACTATTGCGATTTGGGCTAGACTTGCAAGTATTTAGTTGCTTGCAATGCACTACGAAATATCTTCCAATTGTAAACATTTTTCAATTTCAAGTTAAATTTTGTTATAATTTCATGTTTTTGTGTATTCTGGTGTGTGTATTATTTGAAATTTGCAAGAATTCAAGCCGTTGAAAGTTGGAACCTAGGAAACAAATAGACAAAATGAAATAACAAAGAGCCAATTTAGCAAAGGAACACAAACTATAATGAAATCAATTTTGTATTCTATACAAATCAAATGAAATAAATGTTCACTCAATAGCCGCTATGGAAAAGCACTAAAAGCACAAATAATTGTTTTTAGAAAACACACAAAATAATGCTCGTAATTACTACTCGTAAAACAAAAAACTTAAGCACATGCACTTACCTTCAGTTAAATGAACGAATCTACAATTTAACCGACTGCACATAGATCTATTAAAATCTTGGCACACCGGGAGGGTGTCCAGTAACTATATAGATTTGTTTGGTTTGTTTTGTTTTGTATAAACAGCATGAGTTTTGAGTTGGTTTTTGGATTTGCGCAAATGGCAGGATGCAAACGTTGTAAATGAAACCAATTATGGAAATCATAAGATTTGTGTAATTTGTATAATTTTTTTATATCATTGAATTAATTTTTTTTTTATATATATATATAATATATATATATATATATATATATATATTTTTTTTTTTTGAAAAAAAGAGAAGAGCAGAAAAAGAAAAGAAAAAGAGCACAAATTAGTTATATTCTTATAAGATATGGTCACTAGAATTGTTAATGGTTGTTAAATTCGATACTCTTCAAATACAATTGGTGGGTTGGAAGGTTGTTGTTAGTCGTTGTTAATAGGATATATGTATATATGTAATTATAAATATGTAACTAAGTCGATAGGTTTTAAATTTTCCCCTTTGTTTTTGTTTTTATTTTTACAATAATTTATGTAAGACTAGTTTAGACTTATGTATGTAAATAACCTATAAGGCACAGAAAAAATTATAAAGTGACGGCGCAAATGAATGCATAATTTTGTATCGGTGTCGATGAGTTGTGATTCGTAATTGTGCTGAAAATCTGGGCGTGAACGCGACCAAATTTGAGAAAGGAGCGTGGTTGTTGATTTGTTATTGTTGTGTTGGTATATTGTGATAAAAACAAAGGAAACGTAACGAAAGAATAATGCTTTGGCAGACATTCGTTGCATGATTAAAACTTAAGTAATATTTTGACAAATTGTGAAATTAGGACTTAACTTAAGAAGTAGCATTAAATATTATAAAGAAAACACCTTTAAAGCAGCAAGTATTTGAGAAACTTAAACTAAGCCTCAAAAAGCCAACAATATGGAGTATTGTAACATATAGAGAAGCCAAAAAAGCCTTCAAGCGCCACACTCACTCACATTTGCTTAACTTTAGACGCGCCTTATTCGTATTTAGTTACATACTTATAGCATATGTGTATTCTCGTTTCTATGCATGTATGAGTAGAAAAGGATATTTATTGATTTTGATTGCAGTTTACGTTTTAGATTGTGCTTAAGTTCTAGGGGCTGTAACAGTTACGTATCCTAATAGGCGGCACTAGAAATATAAGAAAAAGAGAAGATAAAGAGAGAGAGAGAGAACGTAATGCAATCGCACTATTAATCGAATTAACCATGATGCAACGGCCTAACACAAATTAAGCAAAATAGTATGTACTGTACTACTCGTTTATTTATAATCGAACTAAAAGCAACATTTAATTTGCCTAACCGCCAAGCTCAACTAAAGAGAAAAGCTCGTTGCAAGCTCCTAGGCCTTGAACTCGCGATCGTTGTCTTTATCTATTTTTTTTCCTACACTCATTAAAAGCGGAGACAGACGGAGACAGAGCAAGAGAGAGAGGGAGAGAGAGAGAGAGAGAGAGAGAGAGAGAGAGAGGGATAAGCAGCTTTTAAAAGAAAAACATTTCACACACAAAAGCTTCTTGCTATTTAAGTTCTTGCGACACATAAAGTTGGTGTAAAAAATAGATATTGCGCATACTTATACATTCGTTTAATCAATAAACTAAAGGCATATATTTACGAGTATCATCAGTTGTTAACCGCTTTACCTAATTATGTAAAATGTGCCATTCATTAGCATAGGACACTGAGTGTATAACATGCCCCGATCCGGCTGGGCTATAATTTCAATTGTTTTGACAAAGTAGAAAATAAAGAGAGAAATTGTAGAGTGGATTAGGCGTCGTTTTTGTTCTTCTTACATGCTTTGTTTGTGTTTGTATCTTTAAATATTAATTGTTGGTTCTTAACTCATTTATAAGTTGTATAAATAGTTGAATGATTGTTTTTGAAATTGCTTACACCCCTGCCTATAAATTCATATGCAAGGCAACGTCCATGGCAAATATTGACCTGGTCAAGCAGAGGTGTGTATGATTACGTGTGTGTGTTTGTGTGTGTATGTGTATTTGCGTCTACGTGTATTCAGAGACAGTTAAACGAACAAACAGGCAGACTGGCATTAGGGACACTCAAAGGTGTGTCCATGTCCCTGTCAGGTTGGACTGACATCATCGTTGACAAGTTGGCAACGCCTTCCAATGGTTTGTTGGCACTTGAAGGCGCCCTTGTTGTAGTTGTTGTTGCTGTACTAGCTGTTGTCGTCGACTGGCGTCTACGGGGCGCGCCTGCGGCAGCAGTTTTAATTTGATTAACCCAATTTGCCAACACTGGTCACGCAGAGTGGCGCGCACAATACCGATAGAACTCGTACTCTACACATTATGTATGGGTATGCATGGATGTATGTGTGTAGGTGTGTTTGTGTGTACATTTGAGTAGAGTATACAAATAGACGCTTAGCACTAAAATGCTAATACTTGCTGCTCTAATTGTGTTTCTTTTATAACTCTAGTACAGATTTAAGTGTAATTATAAGACTAAATAAAACTAGAAAAATAAATCGGATAAAAGCCGAGACACTTCACAAAGGCATTATACTTAAGGTTTAGCATTTAGACGTGTAGTATGCCGCCAAAGCAAAGCTCTCCACGCTGTTAGCTAACATGCAAAGCTATTGCAGGCAGCTGTTAACCGTTAACAGTGCTATGTTATATATAAATACCATATATACACATAGTATAGTACCTGTCCACTTGCATCGGTGTAGATAACACAGGAAGCGTTTAAGGGTATTTTATTGTTTGCTATGTTTTGAGTTTTCACAAAGCCAAAGGAAAAACATGCGCTTGGCATTATTTTATTCGAATTATGCATAAATAAATAGGTGTTAAATGAAAGTGTAAAAATATATATAATTATGTAAGTGTGAGAACGGCAGATAAAATGAGGCAGGAAGTATTTTAAAAACAGTTTCGTGTTGATTTTGTTGTTGTGGATGTTGTTGTTGTTGTTGTTTTATTGCAGTTCGTTGGGAATCCATGCAGCAGTTGTGTTTTGTTTGTTTTAATTGTTTTCATTAAGTTTGGTTTGTTTCGATTTTGGTTGCATTTTGCCATTTTAGTCCAAATCCGTGCGATTGTTTAATATAAATAATCGATGGTATTTTAGTCGTTATTATTGTGGTTTTTATATTTTGTTTGCATGCAAATTTTGTGTAAGTATTTTTGCGTATTGCGTTAGCATGTAAGAAGGAAAAATTAGTAAAAAAAAAGTAAATTGATATTTTTTATGATATTGATCGAAAGAATTAATTAGTTTGCATTAATAATTCAAGAGGGAAGCTTAATTTAGACTTAAAGCACAATTTGTGGGGAACATAATGTGGTACAACATCTATAAAATTATCTTTAGTAATTTCATGTAATTGTATTTGGAATTGTTTGTTTTAATATTATTATGAAATGTTGTTAAACCCAGAGGGCGACTCGTGTACGTTTTTCTGTCATTTTCTCTATCATTTAATGCAAATAAGCCGCTTGCAAACTTGCAAACAGCCCAGACCAGACCAGACCGGCATGTGCTGTGCGCATTGTAATTATACTGTTTTTCCTCCTGCTATAACTTTTTTCATTTGTCTCCTTATTTTATTTTATGTTTTTTGTTTTGCATTACACGCCTTTTTGTGTAATTAACTTGTTGCGTCAAAGTTTCGCCAGAAAGTTGGCGCAGTTCGCTAATTTGGCTTCTTGCTGTACCACATTTTGTTGTTCCACGCAAAAATAAAATGCATCACAACTATTTATGTGTGTATTATTGTTAATTAGAGTGTGCTGTGCATATGCGCTAAATCTAACCAATTGTAGCTGAGCAGTGTAGCATACTTTTCTGCGCTAGTTAAAAGCCATGTTACAGATTTGCTTGCTGGAAAATAAAAATTAAAGAGAAATAAATAAATATAAATATATATATATGTACGTGATTTATGCAAAGCGCGCGTAAAGCCAAAAAGCAAAAAGGCAGCAACTGAAAAAGTGCAAAAAAAAAATGGTTAGAAACATCGAACAAACAATTTAAAATGCAGCAAGAGCACGGCAGCATATTTGAAGCGCTTTTCAAATTGTAACTGGCACAGCGGCTGTAATAAAATAAAACAGTTTAAGGCAAATATGCATGTTAGAGAAGCTTACAAGAGACACACACAAAACATTGCGCGGTAACAAGTACTTACTATATGACAAGCAAGCCTGTAAAAGTCAGTCGAGACGCATACGTTATATAAATACTTAGTCATTGACTTCATTACAATTATAAGTACGATCGAATGTTTGCACGATCGGGCTATACATATTAAGTTACGCATTAGAGTCTAACATAAAGGCGGAAGTGTCATTTATTTGTACTTGATCGTATGACGCCTGTGTGTGCATGTGTGCGTGCGTGTGGCCCTCCAGACAAACATACTTATCTACTGAATATATAGTCTGTATATATAGTATGTATGCTTCTACGATTATGGGAACGCTGAAAAGCAACAGTTTTGGGCGCATCTTGTCTTTGTTAGCAGATGGTGCATGTGTGTGTGTGTGGTTTTTGTTTTTGTTTTTTTTTTACTTTTTTTGTACCTAGAATGCATTTAAAAGTTGTATAGCACTACAAAATCAGAAGCGTTCCTCGCACATTACTCTAAGATTTAAAACATAATTTACATATTTATATAAAGTAGTAGTTAGAATACAGTTTAGGCACGGTATATGTTTGTGTGGGCGTTTTGTGTGTTATCTTGTGACAGCAAACAGTCATACATATGTCTGTATTATTTGTAATCCTGCAGATACGAAAAGAAAGAAAATAATGCATGAAAAGAAAAAATATATTCATGTTAATAACATTTCCTCAAATAGGTGCGGAGTATATCTGTATTGTTTTGGAGTAGCTAAAGGGACCAGAGATCGATTTTCTTGTTTGCTCTTGTCTTTTTATTCCAAACAACAGTTTTGAAACTCCACTGCTAAGCAAATGGGATTTCTGATGCCTTTAACGTATTGTAAGCAAAAATAAAAATGGTAAATTAAGAAGCTACAAAATATGAATAAAGGCGTAAATACGAGTATAGTAGTTTAAAATGAAGATGAAAGCATTTATCAACTATACGTATGATATAGATATAGATATAGATATATATGTATATATATAATAGAGTATGTATAACAAAAGCTCATAGGGCTGTGCACCAGCTTACCTTAGGAGTGCGCTTATAGCTTTACCATCATACCACATGCCTCAGAAGCCATATTTAGTAAACAAAGGCAATGTACGAGTATTTTTTAGCACGTTCTCGCATGTCATTCGCAATGTCAATCACTGAGAGAGAGCATGAGTGACAGCCACTTGCAACTTCAAACGTTCGTGTATTTGCTTGTTTTGGATACTTGCTACAAAAGTTCTTGTTTCATTGAGCACATGCTGAAATATTACAATACAATACGCTCCAAGGAAAACAAATATAATTATATAAATAAAAAGATATACATTACATGTACTTAGAAAGTAGAATGAAACGTACTTCCCACTAACAAACATGGCGAGCTATGAGAGCCTATCCTATGCGAGTATACTCACAGCGAGAGCACAGACAGCAGACTGTAGAGAGTGGAGAGCAGAGTGTACAGAGAGGGAGAGAAGTCCAAAGCAAATATTACTGTATTGTTTTCAAATTCTTGCTGAGCGCACAAGCATTTGTAATGGCCTCAAAGAAGAGTCTCTCCAATATACGAGCATGTACAAGTATATGAAAAAGAATTGAAATTCCCATAACTACTTGTATTACATTAGTACGGCATTCAACATCTGCATTATTTGCAGAATATGGACTTCGTTGCTTTTACTGAAACATGCAATAGAGTTGTAGTTTGCTTTCAAGTGCCACAGTTAATAACTAAGAGTAAATTTGGGGGGAGAGAGAGAGAGCGAGAACAATATACGAGTATAGAGAAAGAGAGATTTACAGAGACAAAGAAAGACAGAGAGAAAATATAGCAAAATGTACGCAAAAAGAACAAAAATGTCTGAAGCGTTTCTTTGAAACATTACAAAAGCGCTTATTGCTAGTGTGAATATACGAGTACGATTATTTATCATATATTTAATATATTTAATAATAATTATTTCGTAAAAATCAACTAGTTCGCTTTCTGAAAACACTACAGTAATATTTTCTTGTACAAAAATAAAAGTAACGATGACATTTTTTGGTTTGAATTCACTCGAGCAAGCCGTGTGTGGAAAACTACCGAGATCTTGATTTTCTCAATGTGTATAGAATAGAAATGAAAACAAATCGAGCAGAGAGCACATTGAGAATAGTTACCAGTAATACCAGTAAAAGCAAACAATGAAAGTAATCGAAAAGGAGCAAATAATTAATAATGGAGTAAACAATTAGTGACAAAAGAATCAATGCTTTGACAATTGGCAAAATAAGTAGACCAATCTAAAAACTTGCTACTTACATATACATTCGAGTATAGGAAAGGCTTAACTGAAAAAGAATTTATTATAAAAATCGACAACAGAAGAAGAAAGGAGAGGATGGGAAGATGGTGAGAAAGAATTAGCAATGCATTGGGAGAAATTACACACAAATAATTGGCAAAATGAGTAGACCAACTAAAGGTTATAACTAAAGTTATAAACATACGAGTACATCTGGCAAATGGGAAATCATAAACAAAATCACAAACAGCGCAGCACAAAACTTGCTTCTATTAGTAGTAGTGGAAAACAACTAGCACGTGGAATACGAGTATTAGTGTGATCTTATCTGGAGCACTTTCCAAGTTGAGTAAAATAAGCAACAAGATTTTTGTACGGTTTTTACAATAAAACGTATATATAATTTTCAATATAGTTTGTTAGTTTTTAGTTGTATTGGTTGTGTTTGAATATTTTTGTTTGTTTTTTTGTTTTTTTTTTCCTTTAATTTTAGTATAATAACGCATAGTTGGTATGACTAATTATACGAAAAGTTGTAGTATCGTATAGCACATAAACATATTCATCATAGTGTTAGATGTATTTGGTTGCGTGTACGTGTTAAATGTGTAATTGTTTAAGATATAGGTAGGTATAGTATATATTTGAAAATATTTAAAATAATTATTCCACAATTTGAATTCAAAGATTTATTCTTGGCGATTGTTTGCAGCAGCAAAACATTCATGCAACTTTTTATATTTTCATGATCTTTTCTATTCACTTCCGGAAATTTTTACTTGTGTAACACATTCAGTTAGCTAATTTTTTTTTTTTTTTTTTTTGCAAAAAAACTTATGTAATAATGTTTTCCACTTTACACATTTCATATATATTTATGTGTGTGTATATATTTCTTCGCAGTTGCTTAATGTCTTGTTCAAGGGTAACTTTAAAAGCTGTGCGCAGATTCTATTCTATCTTCTTGAGCTCGTGTCTACAAAAAATAAAGTCTATTTCGTTCAACATCAACTGTGGTTGTGCTACATTAGTCGAATGGACGGTACTGTACTTTTGTGGTTGCTATAAATTTGTAACTTTTTGTTCAATACTATATACTTATATGGACTACTAGTTTAAATGAAAATGGCTGGAGAGTTTTTGGCCTATGTGTGCCTAACAGTTTCCGCTAAACCGGGAGACTACACTACAAAGGAGCAACAAGAGCTCAAAATTCTCTACCAATTGCTGTAAATCAGTTGTTCTGTAAATACCTTGTATACTCGTTAAAATGCATATGAAACGAAATCATCTTCTAATGCTCTTCAACTGC